CACTGTACTGAAAGAAAGCTTCGGATTAACCACAGTTTATAGACTAAGATGGTTGGGCTAGCCGGCAAACTTCAAAGGCGGCGGCAAATTATGTTGGGGATCAAAGGATAAAAAAGTCACGTGTCCATGAAGCGGTACGCTGCGTGTGTTTTTATATAGTTTTCTATTAGGAAAAATCAAATATCTGGATAAAATATCATATTTCGCTTTGTTTGAGGAGGGTCATTTAATAGGTTTGTTATCGTTATTGTCTGGCAAGTTCGTCGAGAAGGAAACAGTCTTTTACAAAGCAAAATGAGCGAATACGACTGCGAAAATGAAGCAAGCATTGGAAGGCTCGAAGAGATCGATTTATCTGATGACGATTCAGATGACAGTTTCAACCTTTTGTTTGATGTTTTGGTGGCTCAAACGGAGACAAATGAAATTGACAATGAGTTCAATTAAGCTGCAAACGAAATCAAAGGCAAGAAGGCATTTGAGTGCGAGAAATGCGGTAAAATATGCAAATCGAAGGTGCTCTTTTAATATACAAGGTGTACAAATTCTAAACATGCCGAGCCCAAGACTGCCGAGGTATACAAGGACAATCTAGACAAAGATACAGTTGATGGCTTTGTTGAAGCAATCAAAGCTAGAATTATAAACGAAGGTCTATATGGCAACGAGAGTTCCATTGCAGCACTGTTTACTGCTCTGCTTCCTATGTACGAGATAATTTGGAAGGAAAAGAATCAGGACAAGTTGCTCGAAACCTTTTATGGCTTAATTCCTCCATTGGAAAAGTTGTTGAAGTGTGATGATTATAGAATAGCGAACTTAGTACTGATTCAACTGCCTGTTTTTTTGGTTGGCATCTATAAGACTTCCACAATGAACAAAACGCAAGACGACACGCCAGCCACACTTGAACCCAGCTGAATGCCGACCATTGTCCTACATTGCTTTGCACAAGCCCACTTCTGCGGTTCTAGCAGAAATAAAAGTCTTTGCATGACTTGAATTTCATCGATATTCAGGCAATTAGGCTTGAATTTCATCGTTGGACTGGCCTTTCGTTGTTCGGTTTTGTGAACAAGCTTTACTCGCAATATATCCATATTTTGATTAAAGCTTGTTCACAAAACCAATGAAAGAAAGCCCAGTCCAGCGATGAAATTCAAGCCTTATTGCAAGTCATGAAGTCAACTGAAGGGGTAAATACTTTTATTTCTGCTCGAACCAGAGTTGGGTTTGTATGCCCTTGTGACGACTTAATTCACATTGTTGAAGTTTCTGAGTTACTTTCAGAGGTGAAATCAACAAGATCAATGACAATGATACATTAATAAGAAGTATACCTATAGCCTAGGCTATACAGAACGTTCATATTTGCAATCCAGTGCTCGACTCTCCTGTTGTGAAGTGATTATGGGAGAACATTGTTTTGTCTTCTGGGGTTGACAGTTCATCTGCAA